CCCCCCCCCCAGTTCAATGTTGTAAACAACGCCGAAACAACTTTTGGTAAAATACCATGACACGAGCTCAACATTGAGTTGGGGGAGCGGGGGCGTAAGATGGGCAACATGATTCAACATGGAGTTTATCGGCATAAAAAATATGCGAATTTTCTGTAGGGGAAAATAGTCTCAAACAGTAATGTCAAATATTGTAGCCATGGCAACTGGTCATGCTATGCTAATACACCTGCATCTAACAAAACATTTCTAAAGGTTTGAATAATGCTAATCATGATTAAAAATTTGGATAGCATGACCTGTTGCTATGGGCGGCCATGCTGTAAAGTTCGTACTTTCGAAGCAGTAAGTTACCGCTCCGTTTTTCAATGATACTGTACAATAATGCTAAATAGATCACTCTATGTTTTATCCAGAAAGCCAAAGCGCTTAATCACAAATCATAACTTATGGAACGAGTGTGGGGCTTGTATATAAGAACAGAGAGGGTCTCCCAAGGAGGTCTGTGTCCCAGAAATTTTTCCTTTGTTCCCTTGTTACCCACGAAGATTTCATACATGTTTTCTTGTTCCCTACAGTTCTTTTTTTGCTTTGTTCCCGTGTTTCCATTGGAAAATGCCTTGTTCCCTGGAAACCCCTTGGAGATCCTCGACAAAAAATTAAAAAATTAAAATGCACGCAAGGTTTTGTAACAGTTAGCCATTACTTGGCGCTCGCGCTCATGCATAAATGGGCCTTGTACTTTTCTGCAAGTAGCTTTACCCTTAATGGTTCTCGGTTGTCCTACAGTATATCTATACAGTCTATATCCTATATCGATACAGTCAGGGACAATCAGTTACTAATTATGTTACTAACGTGATAACGTAGTTTTCGCAGTTCGTTGGCATCACAGACACCATAATTCTTCAGCCATACTGCCTTGCGTTATAAAAAGTATATACTAAAATTATGCTTCAATAACAAACACTCCATTTTCTTTGTAGATATTTAAGTTCTTTAACGTCTTCACGGTCATGCGTGGTTGCTGCTGCTGCTGCTGTAAATAAGAATGCAATGAAATATGAGCAAATATATAGTAATAATCCCCGAGCCAACGTAATCCCCGAGCCAGCGTAAGCCCGGGGCGAGGGTACTAATTCCCCCGGCTATTTACACCCAGGGAAACGAAAGCATTAGCGAAGTCTAAAGTTCATCAATGATCGCGGGCGTGACTCACCGACGGGTGGTCATCCTCACTGATCTCAAAAATACGGCTGATTGCTTGTAGGAGTGGGATGAGCAAGATTCAGGGCCTTTTTTAACATACAAGCTGGGGGAGGGGGGGGAATGCCCCCAGACCCCTTGTGCTCCCCCCCACGAAATCACATCCCCCCAGGAAAAGTCCCTTTTTCCTAAATTTATACCAACAAAACAGCGAAGAATAACAAATAAATAAACGGAAAGGATGCTCAGAATGCAGGAAAGAGCATTTCCAGGTTTCAAATTTGAAAAATTTTCTGGAGATTATGCCCCCACACACGTGGCCTTCGGCCATTGGTATCCCCCTCTAATAAGTATAATGATAAATTACGGTTAATATTCTTTTTTAATTTTTGTGCATTTTTCCTTCTTTTATTTCAAATACAAGTATAGTTAGCATAAATTTTAGAGCAAATTTGGATGCTCAGAATGCAGTTCAGTGGGCCATTTGTGAATACTTCATGTTAATTTAATGTTTGGAAAATATTGGCGAGGGGTTACTGCATGCATGTATTTCTAGTTTATAGTAAATTTCGAGTGTGATTTTTGTCTAGTAAATGTATAAAAATGACACTCGACATTTCCACCGACAAATCCTTTCAACATTAGTTCTATCGAGTAACATGCCAAAAATCCTGATATTTAACTTTACACCTTACATTGGCATCACGTTAGTATAAATATACACGAACTTGCGATTACAGTTTAACGACTGGACTGTGTAGCTCAGTTGGTTAGAGCTTTGTACCGAAATCGCAGGCTGCATGCAGGTTTTATTCCTGCCAGAGGGCCTATTGCCATTGCTCCTGGTTAGGTCTAGTAAATGTATAAAAATCACACTCGAAATTTCAATTCGAAAAATCCCTTCAATTATTATGATGCATATCGTCAACTTATGAAACAGTTGTTGGAGATGAGGTTTTACTATAAAAGTGCATTTCTTCTCAGAAAAGACCGAATATTATACACACCAAAATTCATATTTGGGGTTCAAGGCACTTTAAGGTAGTACAAAGTAGCCATGTACGCATGCACCTAGTGAATAACTACAACAAAACGTGTCAAGGAAAACTTGTTGACCCGTACACACGAGAAAGTAAAGTTGTCAAGGAAACTTGTCACAGGAAAACATGCTCATCTGTATGGGGCTTTATAAGGTGTCGGTAAATAATGGCGCAGGAAGATGGTGTAAGAATATGGCTTATCCGAATATTAATAAACAAATCTCGTAGTAGCCTTGACTTGCAGTAGCAGGTTTAACTCGTGCATAGGTAAGGTGTGGTAAATCGTACCCATCCGTTTTACGTGCATATATGTTCTTACGTTTTCCTTTTCTTTCTGTTCCATTTCTTCAGTTTTCACTTTTTCTGTTGTTTCATTTGTCTCTTCCTTTTCACCTTCACCCTCAGTTTTCACCTCTTCCTTTCTCCAGAACAATTCTGTAGACTAAATGAAAAATATAACTTTTTTGTAAATTTTGTTGCTTACTTATCACATTGCACAATGAAATTAAAGGAATTTAATCAAACTTGACTTTCACTGGTTTATCAATGAAACAAGCTAGATTAATTTGCATATATGGGTACTGTTACTACAAAAGCAGAGATTTGAATTAAAACAAATAGAAAATAAGACAATAGAACATACCTCATGGCAGACATTGTAGTTTAGAGCACCCTGAAATATCAGGTAATAAGATTAGTTTTATAAACTGACTTTATTTGTAGTAAAAAGCTCTATATCAGTGCTGTCTAAACTGTTTTTTCCAGAGATTCGTAGCATTGTGACAAAAGGGAAATTGTCCCGAGCCCCCATTTAAACAGTCTCACAGGATAAAGGATTTTCCCATTCGTGGGTTCTTTGATTTCAGAACCTCTTGCGAACAGTAGAAAGTAGTTCTTCATTCAACTACAATACGTTAACCCATACACAACAAGAGTTGATTTCTGATTTATATCTGATAAAACACTGCTGCTCATGTTTTAAATAGTACATTAAAAATTTACAGATACAGTAATTAACACGTACAATGACAGTCATTACATTGAGTACAAAATAGAGTATAAGTAAGAAGTGAATACAATAAAATTTTGAATGTAAAAATTTGAAGATAAACAATCATGATTTCATTAATTGACTCAACTAGCCAGGTGTCACAATTTAAACAGAAGGAAGCTCCCGATTTCTAGTAATCCCGATCTGTCGATCTGAACTTAAACCTTTTTTAAGAAAGATTAAAGGCGTTTGATTAAGAGAATCAATTTGAAACAAAAAAATTTTGTTTACCGGCAGTTAAGCAATATAAATAAAAAAAATATAGGTGAGGTAATCACCCTTTTAAAACGAAAATTAACAATTGAAAACGTTTTTAAAAATTTCCAACAAAGAATATGTCTTATTGCCGAACATATTCTTGAGACAAAATAAAAAGTTTTCCTTGTAAACCTCCCAATTAATTTCTGTCTGCCTAAGGTTGGAATGTTTGGAAAACGTTTCTTGCTAATGGTAATGTTTCTTACCTGTAGTGTAAGAAATATACAGAAAAAGTATTGGTTGGAAAATTTATCGTCCAAGGTCACTTTAACAGCCAAACACCCAGTGACGATGAAGGAAAGCATGACAAGGAATTCTTTTACAATTCTTGGCCTAAAAAGGCAACAAAACTTGACATGAAAACTGAGAGAGTTGAAATTCATTACATTCACTGATTAGACCAGAGATTTTCCACTGTGCATTGGAATTGGAATAAGAATTGTAACTGTAACTGTGACTGTGACTGTGACTGTGACTGTGACTGTAACTGTAACTGTGACTGTAACTGTGACTGTGACTGTGACTGTAACTGTAACTGTGACTGTAACTGTAACTGTAACTGTAACTGTGACTATGACTGTGACTGTGACTGTGACTGTGACTGTGACTGTAACTGTGACTGTGACTGTAACTGTGACTGTGACTGTAACTGTAACTGTGACTGTGACTGTGACTGTGACTGTAACTGTAACTGTGACTGTAACTGTGACTGTGACTGTAACTGTAACTGTGACTGTGACTGTAACTGTAACTGTGACTGTGACTGTGACTGTGACTGTGACTGTGACTGTGACTGTGACTGTGACTGTGACTGTGACTGTGACTGTAACTGTGACTGTGACTGTGACTGTGACTGTGACTGTGACTGTGACTGTGACTGTAACTGTAACTGTAACTGTAACTGTAACTGTAACTGTAACTGTAACTGTGACTGTGACTGTAACTGTAACTGTAACTGTAACTGTAACTGTGACTGTGACTGTGACTGTGACTGTAACTGTAACTGTGACTGTAACTGTAACTGTGACTGTGACTGTGACTGTGACTGTAACTGTAACTGTAACTGTGACTGTGACTGTAACTGTGACTGTAACTGTGACTGTGACTGTGACTGTGACTGTGACTGTGACTGTGACTGTAACTGTAACTGTAACTGTGACTGTGACTGTGACTGTGACTGTGACTGTGACTGTGACTGTAACTGTAACTGTAACTGTAACTGTAACTGAAAATTTAGCTGGAGTATTGCGGGGAGAAGCGCTCACCTCAGTTTGTCATGATAGAATTTGGCTTTAGCCATGGGCAGTAAGAGATACACCAAGATTATCACGTTTACCTAAAAAGAGAGAAAATGTTTTTGCATTTTTATTACCAACCATTATTTAAAACTACGAGTACTGTTAGCTAAATAACATTGCAGGATAGTTTAGAGTTTTGGCTAAACTAATAATTACTTTAAACCAAACTCTATACTTACAATAAACATGGCGAACACTGGAGCGCCATAACCCCAGACAGTTCCAACGCCACTGATTGAAACCCAACAACTACAAAAGGATAAAACGTGGCAAATAAGAACATTGAGATCTTGGGCATCTCTTTCGATAAAACTAATCGAAAATGAGGATTTTGTTGATGGGATTTTCGAACGGTATATTTTTATTCACTTTTTTAAACCTAACCAGGAGCAGTTCGGGAAAATGGCGTAGAACTATCGGCCCTCCGGCTCTGGAAGGAATCAAACCTGCGGATCTGCGATTCCGGTGCAGGCCCTTAGGTTCGACTCCTCCCTGGATTCCAATAGTAGCATTTTCCGCAACTGCTCCTAGTTAGGTCTAAAAAGTGTATAGAAATTTACGTTCGATAATTCCATCTACAAAAAGCCATCTACTAGAACATTGAGTGTTATACGTATGTGGAAATCGTAGTCTTAATACAATATAATAAAACATTTACACTAACACATTGTCTTCATGTCCATTTTTATCAATATCTATTTTTCCAGCAACACCGGCAAGAACGATAGGAACACCTAGATATAATAGGAATGAATATAATAAAGATTAATATTTACAATAAATCTTAAAAGGTGCTCCTTGGGAGAATATGCGAAATCAACAGTTTATACTTGCTACCAGATTATTGAGAGTCTGTATTTTCAGGCTAACTAACAAGCAATACAAAACAAAGCACTTTAAAAAAATACAAAATGTTTATTTTAAAATACCTACCCCATCCTAAGACGAAGTATATAGTCCTTAGTCTAACATTTTCACTAAGTAGTCTCCTTAAGAAGTTCTGCATCCAAAGTACTGTGAGCAACATCCAAGTGAATTGAGAAAGCACCAAATAATAGAGAAAGAAGGCGAGGAAACCGCATAATTCCTAGAAAGAACGTTGCAATAGGACCGCTAAGTAGTTGTGTTACATGTTCATTATTGCATTTCTATATGCAGACCTGGAGAAAGTGGATCCTCGCTCCTCAGGAAATTTTTTATCTTGCACGACCGGAAGTTGGATGGCTATATGATTCACCCATGAATACTAGAATAACATATCATCATCCTTAATTTTTATCCAGCATTTCCATGACTTAATCTGTTTAATCAACATTTTATCAATTTCAATAGAAAATAAAAATTACACAATACAAATATATGACCAGCGTTAGAATATCTTCACAATGCAGTAATATGGTAAACAAATAAAGCTGGAAAACTTATTTATTATTGTTCTTTGGACGATTCTGAATTTGTCTTTTCAAACGTTCGAATTCCTAGTTAAAAGTACGTTATTAGTCTTATTAGGAGGACGGAAGCACGCGAAAATTCTTGACTGAGCCCATGATTATGCAAACAATGCTCAGTAACATGGTCATTTTTCCGTAGTCCTTTTTTCAGAAAATTTATATATATTATTCAAATATTCATGATCAAGGGTGAATCATGTGGTCATAGTCCTTTTTCGCTTAATTTATGAAACTGTATAAACAATTTTTGTGTCTTATATTACCTTCTCAGCGGGAACGTGAGCGCCAATTAAGAAAATCACCAAGAGAAAACCAGAACCAATTGCTTCAAATAAGTGGAACAGCTCTCCCGTAGTCGTTTTCCTGTGATAACATAAGGATAGGTACACTACGTCAATGGGATCACTAGTTAGTTTGATAGGTTTTCTATATAATTTTAATTAAGTATAAAATTTCTTAAGGAATGGACGATGTTTATGTAATGTTTAATAAACGAGCAGGAGTGTTTTATTATGTTTAAAGACACGAGCGCGCAGCGCGAGTGGCTTTAGACATAATAAAACACGACCTGCGAGTTAATAGTTAAACGGCTTCAAACACGACTACAAATTCAATAGATATGCTGCCTATTAGTATTCTTTATATAAAGAAAACTATAATGAGGACACAACTACAATAGAGCCTTATTAGAATTCCTTATATAAAGAATACTAATTAGGAGTGTTTTATCAGGTTTAAAGCCACTGCACGTGACATATTATGGTTGACATGATTTGCCAATAAGCTTATGAATTATTAATGAGTGTTTGAACGAATAGATATAGCCTAATAGTATTAATTATCTACTTACTCTTTTGTTGCTAAAGAATGAATGGTTGCAATGACAAGAATCAGGAATACGGCGCAACATAAATAGATATTTGCTTTGATGTGCAAATCCTTTGGTGGAGGCTGAAAAATGACATAAAAAGATATGAATTAATCGTTAATAATTATTTAAATTAGTGGAAAAACGTTACGAATTCCAGTAATAATATATAAAAGATGAACATAAGAAATAGGACAAAAGACTGATATTAAAGAGCACTTTTAAAACGACAGAGAAACAGACCTAGAAATTCAAAAATAGAGATGAAGAAAATAGAAGATTTGGAAGTAGACAATTAAATAAATAGATATAAAGAAAACTAACGTATACCAATATAAATTATTGTGAGCTAAAAAAGGAATATAAAATGTAAATGAAAAAGGGAAACTTATAGAACCACATAAAGCAGTCAAAATGAAAAGAAGAAAAATAAAAGGTAAGATATGTATTTGAATAAGAAATTGAAAATAAAGAATGTAAGCTGGTGTAAATGAAAAAAGACGAGTGGAGGGTTGAAGAGTTGATAAAAATATAGTAGTATAGAGATTGTAAGAAGGCAAGAATCTTGGGTGTAATAAAAGTTCCATCAGTTCAAAACTGCTCGATCTTCCTAGAGATTGAGTTTCGTATAAGAGAAATCCGGGGCAATTATGGGAGGAAACCTAGGTGATGGTAGAGTCAAACGGAATGTAGTGCGGGTGTGCCTAAATTACAATCACTGTGCCACTCTGGAAAACAAGAAAAAAGAAAACAACTAGAAAAGAAAAAAGAGGATCGCTGGAGATGTTAAATTGAGGCCGAAAAATATTGAAGGAAGTGGAATAAATATTACATTATTTCACCTTCATATCACCAAGAACAGCAAACATGCCAGTATGAAGACATTTACATACGGTGTGAGTCAGGTTACTAAATGATGTTAAACAATCACGTTTCGTCCAAGCACCAGTTTGAGGCGATCTTAAGATGAAAACATGTAACCACAGTTAGATGCAACCATTGCATGCGTTCTTTATATTTAGCAAGAAGAGGGAAGACGCTGCCTGACTATAGGTAGAACTCCGTATAGATTGCACCAAATTAAGGTCATGCAAAATCACTTCGAAGTGGCAATAATTGAAGCGGACTTTGTTATGTGGTTAGTAATTTTATTTTTTGTTAATTTCTATTCTTTTTCTGGTTGACATGCAGACAAATCACGGCAGCTTAATATTAATAAACGTAACTTACTTTAAATTGTTATCCCAGGTAACACATGTTTTACGACCCATGTATGCCTCAGGAAACATGGTTTCATCCTAAATGGAACAAGCCTGTTTACTACTTGAGACACACTAAACATAAAACTGAAGAAAGCTGCGAAAATCTCCCTGACCCACTTGCCAACTTTCCCTCCTTATATTACCTCCACCAGGAGGCTATATCGTACTGCAACTTCTATTTTGTATGGTTGTTTGCAGACTTGCTCCAAGTCGACCTCATGAGAAATGAAATCGCAAGGAAAACTGGACGAATGCGAGCGACGACGTCGCTTTTGGGTCGACTTGTCTCGCTTTTCATTTGCGTTTCGCGCCAAAACTGTGGAGAAAACGTGGCTATCAATAAACAGGGCGTGGATTTGAGCTCTTTCTAAAGTCTATTTATAAAGATGAAATAACCAAGTGCGACGATTGATAGGCATGTTTCTTATCAGGTTCCCTCTGATTGGTCAGAACGGCAAGAGCTAATAAACAAAGCGAGTGTATATTATATATAGATCAGCGTTATACCGGCCTGTTTCCGGGTTCCTAAAATTTGGCGCGCTGCAAGCTGGCGGAAAAATCATTCGTCTAACGCCAATGTTTCGTTACTAATTATAAAAACAAAGAAGAAGGACTGTGTCTAGATTTAAAAAAACAGTTTAAAAAAGTTTTAAAAAGTTTAAAAAAGCAAAAAAAGTTTAAAAAGTGAGATTTTTTAAAAAATTAAAAAGTTAGAATAGTGTTAGTGCATGGTGAGGGGTTAGGGGTTAGGTTATGGGTTAGGTTGGGGTTAGGGTTAGTGTTAGGGGTTAGATGCCGTGAATTTATCATTATGATAAATTCAAAATGTGCCGCGAATTTGTCATAATGATAAATTCGGACGTGTTTAAGAATGTACTCACATAGTAAATTCAAAGGTGGAGCTCATGCTGCAATATACGTACCAATATATGTTCAAATTTTATAACCACTGGATCCGATGCTGTTATTTCAATTTCTCGGCTGAGAAATACAGAAATTATTCTGCTTATAACGTTGTGTTTCCCAGGGAAATAGCAGCTATCATCACTCCTAGTTGAAGAAAAAGTATAACAATGCATTTTTATCGTTATTTATCGATTTTGGGTAACTGAGATAAAGACTGTAACAAAAGCCCGCGATGCCATGGTGTGACACTAATCCTTTAGGAAGTGGTTATTTTCCGGTCACGAAAACCAACGAGCTTTGGCTATTTGTCCGCGAATAAGTTAATTTATTCCTTCTGTCGGATTGCTATACAGGGTGTATAAAAAAAACTGAACAGATTTGAAATTGCTCTCAATTTCGCAAAACAGCTATTAGTATCCAGTTTTTTATGTATATGACTTCCTTGGGTACTTATAATGTAGAATAATGAAAAAAATTTCGCGAACACAAATTTTGTAAACCAGGGGGGGGGGGGTGTCTTTTCCGACAAACTAAAAATGGCTTGCGCACGCGATTTAAAAGCTATAATCGTATTTTGAGTTAATGGATGAAAAATGTGTTGGGTGTTTAATTGCTGCACGAAATTTCAGACAATTGGCTTCAGTTTAAGCCCTTCAACTATCCACGCAAACTTACATTTTTCCTAACAAATCAGCAATTTGCATGCTTAATTAATGCATTTGCCCAGTTTGCATGGCAGCAATATGCAAATTAGGTAAAGACATTAATTAAGCATGCGAAAGGCTGATTTTTTAGGAAAAAATGGATAGTTAAAGGGCTTAAACTAATTAAAGTAATTGACCATTTGCGTAATAGACTAAATTTTGAACTAAACAAGTCTAAACAAAAATTTCATCACAGCTTGAAAAAGCATCACAAAATTAGTAATATTCCAAAGTTTCGTTGCAAAATGTTGTAAAATGCGGAAAATATAGCCTTGCGAAATTTGCAATTTTCAGTCATTTTAGATTACAAACGGGAAATTGACAGCCCCAAACCCTTCGAGGCTGTCAATTTCCGGTTTGTAATCTAGAATGACTGAAAATTGCAAATTTCGCAAGGCTATATTTTCCGCATTTTACAACATTTTGCAACGAAACTTTGGAATATTACTAATTTTGTGATGCTCTTTCAAGCTGTAATGAAATTTTTGTTGAGATCAAAATTTAGTCTATTACGCAAATGGTCAATTAAAAACCCAACAAATTTTCCATCCATTAACTCAAAATACGATTAAAGCTTTTAAATTTCGTGCACAAGCCATTTTTAGTTTGTTGGAAAAGACACCCCCCCCCCCCTGGTTCACAAAATTTGAGCTCGAGAAATTTTTCTCATTATTCTACATTACAAGTACCCAAAGAGGCTATATATATAAAAAACCGGATACAAATAGCTGTTTTGCGAAATTGAGAGCAATTTTAAATCTGTTCAGTTTTTTACCACCCTGTATAGAGACATCAAGTAGTACTAGTTTCAAGCATATCCTCGGCAGCTAAGTGGTAGTGATTTAGCCACTTGCCTTCTACTCGCTTGCTCCATGGATCAACCTGCGAGATCAGTTAGGGAGGGGTGTGAGGAGTGGGTAAGGTTACGGTTTTATTGTGTGAAACAACCGGTGGCCATTTAAATTAATAAATTAACCAATCAAATTAAAATAGCCAAAGCTTGTTGGTTTCCGTAACAACTTCGAATCCTTTAAGTACTAGTTAAAACATGAGCAACCGATCTTTATCTGACATACAAACTTGAGCCGAAAACGTGCTTAATAAACAACCCATCTTATGAGTTCATTGGCGAAGTAATTTTAAAAATAAACATTGGCTAGCCCGAGAAAATCAAAGCTGAAGTTTATGTAAATCAGGACAAATCTCTATCCGATTTACAAATTGATTAAACATTCATTTCTTTTGTATTTTCCTCGTGAATTATTAATGAGACTTTTAAGTAATATAAAGCATTAATCGCATATAGATCAGCTACTCGTTGTATATATGTCACATATACTACGTTTAGTAATGATATAATATTGATAATGAGTTTATTATTCCTTACCCACTTTTTGGGCATGTAGTAGCTTTACCCAGAGGTATAGCAGCACTCTTCATGATTGACCACGGATTGTAAATAAATGACATCGCAGTAACATACTGAGGCTTGACGTTAGTTATTCGAAGATGATCTGTAATAAAAGCAGTCTAATCTGTGACCACACGTCCGACTTTATATATATCATTCCTAATTAATAGCTACACTAATCCGAAACCCCAACACGTTAATTTATTCTTTAGTTCAATCAATGTCAGGGTTTCCTTATTATGTTTATACCCTAGATCATATTTCTCTATCCATTTTTCCTTTCTTCTTCCACTAGCTACTAGAGGGTTTCTTCTTACCAGGACCGTCGCTAAGAGAATGTGTGGGGGGGGGGGATAATAATTTTTCAGCAAACCTGCCAAACCAAAAATATTCGATAAATGGACGATTAGTTAAAGGGGAACTTCTTGAAATTATTCATTGCAAATGTCCTGAAAAATGTCGTCAAATTATGCATGTTGTCATTTTTCGGCAAGTAAAGAAATGGTCGTCAAATGAAGATGTGATATGAAAGATATCCGTCGGTTGGCATTAGCAAACGAAGTTTTTCAGAAGAAAATTTTTTGAGGAATTTTAAATGGCATGGCTAAAATCAAGATTAACAGGTAAAATATATTTATGATTCTCGCTGACAAACATCGGTGGCAGGTGATTTTCGTCAGTATTTCTTTGCATGCGGTTACTTATGCTATTTCAAAAACTAAAAACAGGTTAATTTACAGTATATTAATGGTAAATTAATGATTTCCAAATTGAAATGTAAATTAAGTGTTAATGCCTAGTTAAAACACAGGAACATGTTATTCTTGAAATAAAGCAATATTGTCTAACAAGATTCTCGTTAGAGTAAAGATATGTCTAATTCTAAAATTACATGTAAATGAATAGTTAATTTGGGATGACTACACCCAGATACCACGCCCTTTTCGTCGTCAAATGCGTAGCCACACCACCTGCATAAACCTCTTCGCGGCGGCCAGGGAGTCAGGGACACTTATTTGGCTAACTATTTTGTCCAAATATTTTACACCCCCACACTGCCCTGGTAGCGACGTCCCTAGAGACGGCCAGGGACGTCGAAAAAGTAACAAAGGTTTCACTACCGGATCATTATTCGACCAATAAACTATATGACAACGCATCATTTTGATGGGAAATATCCACAGATTATTATTTTGATAAACTGAACTGCCGGAGACTTATAATGCTTGCAGCGTGTGCAGCGTGTTAATTTCAGACAAAAACATGAAACAGTATTCAGTTCATGCACGTGTAATATTCGTTTTGCCCTTTAAACAATTCACAACTCAATGTTGATCAGGATGTTGCTGTCAATTAAAATGGTGACCAAAATTAATCTGCTATTTTTTATACTAAAATGTCAATAGGTCCGTAGGTTTAACCTAATTTGTAACAATGATCACAAATAATATCAAAGTATGATATATTGACGAGTATTCAAAGTATTCTATGTTCTGAGATAACGCAAAACCACGAACACATTGCAAACATATTCACTCACATTTTAATACTTTATGCCAAATGGCTGTAAATCCCAGTCGTTCTTTTGTCGAATCCGTCTTGAAACGCACAGTTATCGCACTGCTGGAGGAATTAATAGGGTAACCATAAGCTGGGTAGGAATGAGGTGGCGTACTGTTGCCACAGAAACGTAACAACTCTGCTCGATCATAATCCCCTGGCGATACAGCTCCGTCGTAAAAGGCAACATAGTCATATTTGCATTTCTTGTCTTTCTCCAAATTAAATTCCTCAAATTGCACAACAACGGTGTGGTTATCGTCGACCTTGATTGTCCAGACGCAATCAGCATTTCTGGGATACAAGCCATCGACGACCGGCGACGAGAAGTTGCCACGCTCACCTGTAAACTCTCTAGTGCACTCTAAAATAAAAAGGTAACATTTTAATTAAAAGAAAGGGTTCATAGTTTGACTTTCCTCAGCCACTAGGATTCGCAGACACAGAAACAAAGGAAGAGAAGTGTACATAGGCGGCTTTCTGGCAAACTAGCCCATAGCTGATGAGAATCTACATAGTGGCCAATTGTGTCAATCATCTTTAAAAATTAACTAAAGGATTACATAAGATACCCGATGTAAATAGAACTTGCAAAATTGTTAAACGCATTATATCAAAGACATAGGTTATAATTAGTATTTAAGTATTGTTATAAATAATTGTCATTGGAACATATATCACTTTGAGCATACCATTTGAGCAATATTCAATATAACATTCTTGTGTTTCCACAGCAGGGCCTTCGTGTGCACAGGCCAAGGGAACAGTAGAGTTACAAGAGCGACTTCTGCTTTGAGAACCAGTTCCGCAACTCTTACTGCACTGTCCCCATTCTCCCCATTTACCGTAGTGCGCATTTTCTACAAAAATATTGGATTATTAAGATGTGTGCAGCAACGTAGGTATGGTCGTGACTTCGGATGGGAAGAAGGGAGTAACAGGAAACACATGCAAATTTCGAACACGAACGCCAATACGCTTCCCCAGAGAGATTTTGAATCTCTAGCGTTTCTAGATAAATTAAATTTCTTGGCAGCAAATTTGAAATGAGTTCTGAAGAAAAACAACAACCCTGAAGAGCATGTTTATCATTGTTCCAACTATTACAGCCCCCTTTCAATTTTTGTCCGGATTTCAACTTTTCACGGAATTAGTTCCATATCAAACCTATGATCCCATGGCATGAACAGGGTGTGAAGTAAATTTTAAACTTAGGGTTAGGGTATAAAGTCCTGAATTACCAGTACAAGTATTTGAAATCGAATCTATTGGGAATTTGGGAGGCAAAGTCCAGCTCAGGGAAATGAAATCCATTGCTTCGATTGGATTGTATAATTCGACTACTATTTTCCGTATTTCCCCAGCTCAAAATTCAAGTGACATATACACCAAGCAATCATGATCAGTTTATGATTATGGAGATCTCATGAGCTGGGCTCTGGAATCTATATAAAGAATGGTTTTCTTCCCGTTGCATTTTGGAGTCATTCGTCAGCTTTCATGTGATAATTATTATTAAATTAATCATTTGCTTAATCAATTCGCATGAACAATAAAACCGCTATATGTGACTTGACCTTCCTTCATGGGCCCTTGCTAGGATGAACAACTTACCAAATTTAAATTCACCAACTTTCAAGAGGTCCTTGTCGACCATAAAACTGCCAAATGTACCGTTACCTATGATCCCGTCGATCAATTTAGTCTTCACAAATAAAACAGGGTTTGATTCAGTTGTTTCGATGTGAAAGGTGGCTATCACACTTCCAGGCCTACAAAGAATTTAATTTTTTTGAACCTGTTGCCTCCATAAACCAAAACAATATTATGTATATTAGTGTTGCACAATCAAATATAGGTTAAGCTATAAGGTAATATAAAGTAAACTCTATTTACACACGCTAACCCCTTCAATGTAAATTGATTTCAAAGCCGGGGGCGGGTAAACTTTATAATTCCAAAGCTAAGCCTAAGGATAGAAATTTAAAATTACATAACTTAGTATATTATCAAATGAAATTATATCAGGCTAGTTGCACGTAAAAGTAGTTAATTAAAACTTGCTAAGTTCTCAGCGTTTCTAATTTCAACTGGTAAATTATTTAAGATTTTAACTATTCCGTTTTAGGAAGAGGAAGATTTAGCTTCATGTCAGAATTTCGTAAGCCGTAGTCATGAGATCTGACAATTGAAGGATTGGAAAATATTTCAGCAAGCAACGCAGAAGCTGAAAACCATGAATAATCTTAGACATGCACGAGTCTGGGCTACGTACTAGTCGTCGTTCGTCAATTGTTTTCCAGCCGAGCTCAGTCAACGCAGCTTCTGACTGACCGTGCTCGTTTGGATAACCACAATTAGTGCTATGTTTTAAAAATTATGTTATTTATTAGATAAGATACTACATACCTCACAACAACAATCAATTAACATGCATGTCCAAGATCCAAGAGGGCATGGAGACCCAGGTGGATATAGAGTCTATACATGCAGTAAACTAATTTGGTATGCAATTAACCCATTTCACGTTTTATTAGTACACTTTTGAAAGATGGGATCTATTCAGTTAAATCAATGATATTCAGGCATGAAACAATGTATTCTGATTATAGCAGTACAATGAAACCAATATTACATTTCTGATCTCAAAAAGTGTAAATAAACATTGAAATGGGCAATTAGTTAAATTTGCATACCAAAATCCGATCTACAGTATCTATTTATATATAGGTTTTTGAATATTCTCGTAGCAAGTATATGTCAAGATAACCGTACCTGTAACTAAAGTCATTCACCCCTTTGTACGTACCCATCCCATTGAAAATTTTGTTGATCTATAAAGGAAATGCATGATAGTATGAATGTTCCTTGCTTCAATTTTGGTAAGGTAAATTTCTTCCCCATCCAGAGGGATTCTGAAGATATAGGTGGTATTTTAAAATGGAGTAGCCATAAGACCATTTTCCCAAAAAGAAAGCGAAAATGGCAATGGACCATTTGCATTATAGACTAAATTTTGATCTAGACAAAAATTTCATCACAGCTTGAAAGAGCATCACAAAATTAGTAATATTCCAAAGTTTCGTTGCGAAATGTTGTAAAATGTGGATAATATAGCCTTGCGAAATTTGCAATTTTCAGTCATTTTGTATTACAAACGGGAAATTGATGCCCCAACACCTGATTGGGCTGTCAATTTCCCGTGCGTAATACAAAATGACTGAAAAACGGCAAACTTCGCAAGGCTATATTATCCGCATTTTACAACATTTCGCAACGAAACTTTGGAATATTACTAATTTTGTGATGCTCTTTCAAGCTGTGATGAAAATTTTGTCGAGATCAAAATTTAGTCTATAATGCAAATGGTCCATTGTGTGCATCCCTGTTTTATAATTTAGGTTTATAATTTCCAGTTCAAGCTATACGAGCGCGTGGTATAGTGTCATTTGCGTTCCTTAGTGCTTCCGAGATCCGCAATTTGTGAACGTAAATAATGTGATTTACCTCAACTGTTAGTTTTCTTGTGATGTCCATATAATCACTGGAGGTTTGATTGTACAACGTCTTTTGAAACGTTTTATCTGTTATGGTCAAATTCACTTGAACAATGGTAGCTGAAATATTAAAATGCATTATAAAATGACGTGCAGCTTGTCAATTATTGAGGAAGTGACAGCTTGTCAATTACTTTCGTTTTGACTATTTTTTCATACAGGTGACGTTTCTGTGAGGAATTTCAGATACAGATGTTGAATTGCTTGAAAACAGTTTTCAATTTCAACTCATGCACATGAACAATGTACGACTTTGCAAAGATTTGCCGATGTTGATGGAAAGGTAAATAGAATTAAAGAACACATCACGTATACAGACACATGGAAATAAAGTTAATCTTAGAATGATATATATAAACAAAAAATATACAGTGTAGAACTATTTACGAGTATTTCTGGGATTTCATACTTTAAGATACATCGAAAACAACTCACTCTACTATACATGCAATTTGAATTTAGTGAAACAAATTTCAATCTGCCAAGATTAATATCATGACAAAATACATTATATCAAAGGTGAGCAGGTGTAGCTAAGTAGAACCTGTCAGACTAAACATTGATGAACCTTTAATCTTCTTGCTCAGACAAATGTTCACAGAACCCATGATCCCATGCACGGTTTTCCTTGTCTGAATTCCTTAAGGCTAACTGAATCGACTGAATTGTGGTAATTGTTACGATATACTTACTCTGACCATCTGATGCTCTTTTTGTCCGTCTCAGTCTGGCCATCAATCTTTGATGTTCTTTTGCAGCCTGTTCTCGATCAACTGAAAAGAAAAAAGACAGATGTCGGATTTTAGAGGGTGGTAAAGGGTATATATAGCGTGAACCATTTATTGCCAATATTTGTTCTCGTGAAATGTGAAATGACGGATTTTTGTGCCGTGAGCTAGACGTGATCTACATGCCTAGCCGTGATCGCGGGCAATTTGTGTCCATGCAGGAAGTGAGAATTTATTTGAGGCTTGTTGAATAAAGGTTGCATGACGAGAAGTGGAAAGCGCGAACGTGAAGAAGGGCAATGCTTTGGATGTAACAATTTTATTGAATGAAAATATTTTTTTTAATTTATCGGTTGGTTTTAAAAACGTCATTGAATGTTGAGCTTTCAGTGGTGAAACTAGTTTCGACAACTGGAAAAGACTTGAACAGGGCTTGACATTTATGAACAAGCTTTCGTTGGTAGGGATGCAACTACATGGAAAATATAAGGAGAATTTCGACGTATCGAGCACGAAGGCCCTTCGTCTGGAGTCACTGACATTTAGGCGATCACTAATTCGAAATTTGGATGTCAGAAACGTCAGCAATTGAATGGAATAATAAGTCGTTAAAAATATATAATTATTCTGGAACTCAAATAATTGCTAGAATATTGTCTTAAATTGAGAAATAAAATTCATTTACCTCCATACAAAGCTTACTTATATCCTTTGTGTTAGTTTGGATGAGATTTGAGCACGCCGTTTTTCGTATAGATACAGATATATACATATTGCACAGCACACTCCCTTATCAGGGTTTTTCAGATAGACAAACCCGGAACTGACGTGAAGCAGATCGAGGTAGAGCCGCTATTAGTCCATAACTCATTAATGATCTGCCCCCTGACCTATGTGTTTAACCCACCCTGTCAACTTTCCCTGTGGGAGGAAACTGCACATGGACGGTACCCGGAGAAAATCCACGACTTACGGCAGAGTACTTTTACTCTTTTCACATATCTGCAGGCATAAGACACACTCATCAAAGTGTCTTAAAGTGTACATGTATACTGCATGTATACTGTATACTGTATACTGTATACTGTAGGTGTAACTTATTCCTATGTAACTTATGCCTGACAATAATCTATTTCTTCATTTATAAATTGTACCAGGCCAAAACAGACGGGCGAATGGCATGCTCAGATTTGTGGAACTGTACTATAATTATGATCTAGATGGTTTTTAAAATTAACAGACCAACTTAACTTGGTATGAAATGGTTCAATGTTTATTTTACACTTTTGGAGAATATGGGTCTTCTCATGCAGTCAAATAATGTTCAGACAGGTAGGAAATAATGCCATTCTGATTAGCATGACAATGAAACCACAATTAGTGTAAATAAACGTGGGCAGTTTGCATAGCAAGTTTAGTTAAGGCCCTGTTACACGGTGCAACTTTTCATGCAAGACAAGTTGCACGAGTCATTGCACCGTTTAACATGCCTTGCAATAGTCAAAATCTTTGCGAGACAAGTTGCATGAAGCATTGCACAGAGTAGAAGTCGGTTCTACTTCTGGCAACGATTACATTAATTATTTTTTGCATTGCAGCGTGTAACATGGCTTCGTGCAACTTGTCTCGCAATGTTTATAGCTTGAAGAGTTCCTATTGGCTCTCCCCAGTACCGCTCAGTGAACTCTATATATATATATATCTGGAACGATAACATTCAGTCATTTGATTGCGCAAAAAATGAAGCCTCGATACCAGTCTTTCACGCGGATTGGACGTCAGTCTCAGTCCCTCAAACGTCAGGTTTACGCGGATTGGACGTCAGTTTCATTCCCCCTCTTGCAAACCGTTGCACGGCCAGTATAAATTTGAACGCAATCACGAAAAAAAAATTAAAAACATGGCCAACTCAATGCAATACATTGTAGGAGCAAACAGTTTTTCTCCTAAAATTTACTGCATTGAGTTCGCTGTCGGAAAAAAGTCGAGGAAAACTTCACCGTGTGGAGAAAAGAATCACTTTTTCAAATATATTGTGTCGTACTGTCGTTCTGGATGCACAAGGAAGGAGATATTCTTGCGAGAAAATTTCATTTCACAGGTAGGTAAATTGACTTGCAACTGTGACTTTGCCGTTGCCATTTTTCGCGATTGTTTGAATTGTTTTTTAGTTTACCAGTTTTATAGTTTTTAGTCAATACACTGGTACGTTATTTTTTAAAAAATTTATTGTGTGATCGGAATTTGCCTGCCAGCAAAATGTAAATGAATATGTACGTGTGTTTGAATATAAATTAGACCATATGGGCTTAGTAAAAAATTATTTTAATAACTACGTTTCGGAGTATAACTCCATCTTCAGGTTAAAAGTGAATAAAGATATAAAAACTGTGATAAAAACTTTCAAAACAATTACAAATTTTATATGTAAGTGATTTTTAATACTGTAAGAAAGTTCTTGAACAGTTGATGACGAAGACAATGACGAATACTTATGTCGTGATTTTTTTGTCGGCTTCACTTTTCGCTCGCTGTTATCATTCCAGATATCTATATATAGAGTTCACTGGTACCGCTTTACTTTAATTAAAATTTGGCGCCAAATAGCGCCTCTCCCTAGTCTCTTCGCATGCTTCTGTCCCCTATCGTTGCGAGTTGCATGAAAATCATTGCAGCATGTAACACCTCTTGCAATGCATTATCAAAATCTTTTTTTAAACATTGCGAGACAAGTTGCATGAAAAATTGCACCATGTAACAGGGCCTTTAGTCTATTACTTTACACTAATTCTGATATATCTATAGAGCGTTTGCGCATGACGTCACAGCCGCCATGTTGGTGTCCAATTCAAAATAATTTAAATTAGCTAGACTCTTTTCTCTTTAACACCAACATGGCCGCCATGGCTTTTGTTGATTTGGTCCCTGGGGAATGAGTGCAAACGCTCTACAGGGTGTCCCAAAAAAAGTGACACTATAGAAATTATCCTATTGTTATAATTTGAATGCCCTAGCACTAAGTTGATACCACAGGTGCATAAACTTCTGCTTCTGGAATTTAAAATAAAAAAGCAAACCGTTTATTAGTGTAATCGTTTTGCATGACTCGGCGTTAAAATATTTGGACAAAGCGAAAACGTTTAAAATGCTTAAATGTAAATACAAGTTCATTATTTTCCCAGGCGTGTAATCACGCGCGTTTAAGAGCGGCTTAAGAACAATGAGATAATTTCTATAGTATCACTTTTTTTTGGGACACCCTGTACTGTATAAGAGAAATATGCAGATATCCTGAGAAAGCATGAGGCCTATATTTTAATTCAGTAAAATTGTAAAGCCGTTAATTACTTACAGTCTGGTATTTTGGGACAATTGAAAGGAACATAAACACTGTCGGTATATTGCATCCAAAGACTGCCAGAAACATCCTTTGAAGGATTAGAAGGTAGGAACGTCCCTTCATTCTTCAAGCAATCGTATTTCTCAATCTCAAAGACTGTAATGAAAAGTGTAGAAGGATGTTACAAAAGCAAAACACAGTTACAGCAGCAGAAATGAAAAAAATTGAAGTATTGATAATTAGGTTCGTATATTTGAAAACCAATTCTCAATGCAGAGATATTTTAATATTTGAAAAGAGATGAACGCCGATCCGGGTAATTACTAATTAAGCCCTTGGCACGAATAATAAGTTATGATTGAGACGTATATGGAGATGAACAGTGCATTGGATTTCCAAAACAATGGATGGACAATACAAAGAGTCCACCCAATGGATCCATGACTCGATTCTGCTTATGCCATAATATGGTATACAGCTATTTCAATTAAGGTTGTCCCACGAGCGCGAATTAAGGCTTGCTGGGGGTCGCTAATTAATGAATTTTTTAGCGATTCCCAGTAGCCTTTCGCGCTCGTATTCGACTTTTCCGCTTTGCTCGGGGACAACCGTAATTGAAATAGCTGTATGCCTTCATACAAAACGCCAATTGTGATACATGTAAATCTTGTGTCAAGTATTCTTCTTACACCAAAAATTACGATTACGATTGAGCAGACTTTCTATAGCGCAAATTTACATGCATGTGGATAATTATGATCAAATGCGCTTTTCATCAAGTATTAGTCGCTTACCTAATTACTTACCTAGCCTAGACTATTTATCTTTACAACAAACCTAACCCCCTCTGGGGATCCTAACTCACTCTAATCAGGGCAAGTGCTGTTAATATAGGGGTATCTGAAATTCAGACACCCTTATATTCGGATACAAGATATAGGTGAGTCTGAATTTCAGACACCTCTATTAATACTGTTGGCGGTATTTACTGTACAGTACTGTATACTGTATAGCGTTTTCCACTAGGCGGAATTATGCGCGCGGAGCGGAATTTCTCTTTGTCTTTTCCGGCGATTAGTTCCAGTGGAATTTTTCTTTGTCTTGTGATTTCTCGGGTGCAACTAATTAGAAAAGACAAAAAGAAATTCCGCTCCGCGCGGAAAATTCGGCCTAGTGGAAAACGGCCTATAGCGGGGTGCACATGTGTCATGTGCAGACAGTTAAATTGTGTCTGCCAAAAAAGCGAATTTCTTAAAAAAAAATTAAATTGCGAGTCTGCGGCACAGTTTATTCCTCAAAGTATGCGAAAAATCACAATTGTTCAAAATTCATTGGAGCGCGTTCAGTTGAATTTTACCTAAATCATGGCTGTTTGTAGAAATCCTATACGGAGTATCGTCCATATCTTCAAGGAATCCCCATCTTCCCAATTTCATTCGTTTCTCTTCTTCGATTTTCTTGAGACGTTCATCAATCCTATCTATCACTTTCATGCCAGTATTAGCCAGAGATTGTAGTTGCACCACTCGCTGTCCGTCTGAGGCATCTGAGTACGAATTATCCTCAGAAGGAGAAAATGAGTTTGGATACCACGTCTGAAAGAAAATTAATACACAATTAACAAATAACTATACAACAGCACAAACATCCTGCGCGCCAGTGTAAGTATGGCGACGATATAAACGTCTTTGCTCGAAGTTCTGCTTGTCAATTTTTCATGTAACATATTGTATCTCTCTCATTATCCACAATTCTCAAATTATGGAGTACCAATCAATGATATTCATTAAGTAATTAAAGTTGGAGGAAACATGCCAGTTTAAATAAGTTACAATTTTCAGCTTAATTATCTAATTTTTGCAGTTGTTAGACAAAAAAAATTTTAATTATGAAAAGACTAGCTATATTGGGTTTGCCGTAACCGGATACCGCTATCCGGTAAAATATAGACATCCGATAAAATTTTGCCGTACGTTAACCGGACAGTACTGAAACTTTTATTAGAAGGATGGAACCGAAAAAATATTCCTTTGTCTATTTTGTTCATTAAGAAATTGTGGAACAAGAACAATTAGGATTATACCAGAGTGTATTGGAAGCGAATTCTTAAAAATGGAATTCTTATCATAAAGAGTTCTTATTTGTTTCTTTAAAAGCTATTCTTCTTCTTTAACACTGTTTAATGTTGTCAATGTATGATTCGCAAGCCAAATAAATAATTCAAAAAAATAGCCACTGCATGCATGTTTCGTTACTATTCCAGCGACGGGAATATAATTATAACCAGAGAAACGCCTCTCTTACCTTCTTTGTGTCAGAAATTATTCCCTCGATCGTATCAACAAGAAAAGTTTCTTCCTGAGGTGTCTAAAATAGAAGATAATTAGATAAACCTATATATAGTGACAAGGTATCAGGCAAATTTCAATATATACATTAAAGTCGCCAGCGCAAAGTATTAGGACCTACCAGCCCACTTGTATTCGTTATTAATTTTTCAATGTTGTTTTCTGGAGCAGCTATTGCCATGCCTGAAAGAAAATAAATATAAAAATATCATTTTGACGCCGAAACCAACTAACAGGCCATTTTCGATTAAAGTTAAATATAATGCCCACAAGCATGCATGCAATAGCCTGAAGACGAGGTTTCTTGCAAAGTTGTAATGTCTGTTTCTATAGAAAATTAGGAAGACGCCACGATTTGGTGTTCTTGACAACCAGATCGTAATTCTGATGGTCTCCATCTGAGCCGAATATGCTTATTTTGCCAAAAGCTCTCATGACAAACAATGTTTATCCGGTATCATTACGTCTGTAGCCTATATCATAATTATTTTACATGTCTGCCGAATCATTGCATGCAGACATTAACCGAGGAAGATGCTAAATCATATAGGCGACGAGAGTGGAAAAAATCTTTTTGGTCAAGAAATTAAAAATCGGGCAGATTATACTTATAGATCGGGCATATTGCACTTAAAAATTGTGAAATTCTACTTAACAATAAGCCAAACGATTAAAACGTCGCATAAATAGGAAGAAAAGTTTTCAGTCAATTGCAAAATGTCTTATTAATAAATGTTTGCAAAAAAACTCCCCCACCCCAGTCAACACAAATTTTGGGGCAGGTTATATAAGCAAAAAACATTGTATCATGCGTCGAGCAATTTTAATCAACATTGGGTATATTTTTTTCGCCATGCTATTTTTTTCCTCCTGTACACATATACATATATTGTGCATGTGATAAATGTGATTTTAAATAGTATATTTTTAACTTCTAATGCAGAATTCCAAGTTTGATTGTGGCCTCGTCACTCCTTATAGTTATAATAATTAAAGCAATCGTTTCAAATTTATATATTTTTTTAGAATGTTTCCCCGTTACTCACTGAAGCCATCAAACATTGCTTGAAAACGGAATCAGTTGTTCCCTAATAAATCATCACGTTTCCCAACATATGATAAATATATGACTGATTTCATCACGGGAAGCACTATAATTATGGCGTGCATGTATACTGGCCTACCTACGCTGGCACAAATCGTTAGAGTAACCGAGTTTATATTGTCTATTGAACTCTTTCCACGGTGATCTGCCGTATATGAGTATATCTATGCACATAAAAGGCCATTCAATCACTAATCGTCAGTGAGATATTAGCCCTTAGTTCTTAATGTACATGCATGTATGCATGCAAGTGCTCATATCCATGCTCATCCTCAAAAGGCTACAGAGTTGTCAACGAGTCCTATGTTGCAAGTCCAAGTCAAGTCACAAGTCATTTCCTGCACGTCCAAGTCAAGTCACTTATCCCATACCTGTGTTAAAAGCGGCTTTCTGATTGGTTTAGAGCAGGTGAGCTTGTCGTCGAGCTCACCTGCTTTTTGCCGAACTCACGTGCTTTTCGCCCGAACTCACCCGCTAAACTGCTTACGTTGCAATAACAATAACAAATATGGCGGACAAGATTTAGCCGATAAACCTAAATTTAAAGAACTTTTTTCGGTGACTAACATACTGAGACTGAAGAAAAACCAAAGAAAAAATGCAGTAAAGGTAATGTAGACGTAGATAAAGAAGTATTTTCTTGCCCAGTGATTTTTTTGGCCGGGAAAATGTTCACAAAACATCGACGAGTATATCGCGAAGACCTACAAATCTGTGTATGGCTCGGTGTATGGGATAAAAACCAAACGTACTTGCAGGTTCGGTGAGTCCGGGATTGGACGCACCTCCCTGCAAGTACGTTTGTTATAAAGTCATTTGGTCTGAGTTCAAGTCAAGTCACAAGTCATTTTGTCTAAATCCAAGTCAAGTCACAAGTCATTCCGAGTGGCAAGTCAATTCAAGTCAAAAGTCATTTTATCGCCACATGTGGCCATGTTTTCCCACGCAAAACGGCAAAATATGTAAATATGGCGTCGTTATTTTATGTCAGAAATTTTACCACGAAATCGCGAAAAAAACCGCTTTGTCAGAAAATACGCCGGCACAAATTATGTCGATGCCATTGATATATACTAAGGTCGTTGCCCAAATTGTACAACACGACGATCGATCGATCAACACAAAGATTTTGGAAAACTTGATTTTCACTAGATATTTACGTTTGACTTGCGTTGGTAACAAGTCATTTCTTGCAAGTCCAAGTCAAGTCACAAGTCATCAGTCTCTTTAACAAGCTTAAGTCAAGTCACAAGTCACAAAAATTGCGACTCGAGTCCGACTCGAGTCCAAGTCACACGACTCGAGTCTACAACTCTGAAAGGCTATTAACTTTAACTCAGAGTAAAGGTTTAACACCCATGGCCATGCATGCAATGGTTAATAACAGAGTCGTCATCCGGTATATTCGCTTCTCCCTGTGAACTAATTCGCCTGTTATAGTCGAATATTACCCTTTTCTTCGTCTGGGCGTTCGTGCATGCACGCGAACGTTTTCCAGCTATATTCATTCAAGCTAGTGGTTAAATCTTTCAACGAAAACATTTGAATGCATAATAAGAAGTTCCTTATACATTGTTTTGTGCCACGTATACTCTCCAACCCATATTCAATGGAAAAACAAAGCCCAGATCTGACGAGGGTGGATGAGCGTTATACCTATACTTCAGTTGGCAGTCACGCGTAACTTTGTTAGCTGTTCGTAATGCTTTCCCAACACTATCATGCATTCTGTTTAGATTAAAAGGTATACTTGGAATACTCGTCGAACCTTTTGATTTTGTTAATCTGTAGAGCTTAATATAAAATGTTTGAGTGAAGCGCGCTAACAGCCTAAGAAAGGAATTAAGAGATGATATAATCGTTTTCCAAAAAGATCTTACTTCCGAATTGAAGAAATGGAACACGCGATTATAAGAACGACCAGAACAGAAGGTTATTTGCACAAATGTATTCTCAGTGTTGGCGAATATTTTTTATCTTCCATATGTTTCTTTAAAATACTTTATTTAATTCGCCGGGATGAACGATTATATAGTTCTATTCGGTTATAGTCGAGATGATAACAATTTTAGATCGAGAGAAACCAAAGATAGCAGGACTGAAAAACTTTGTCCATCCTTGTTAACAAGCAGTGAAAATATTAATATATGATATACAATTAATTACCTGTGAAAGTAGTCAATATACATTTAAAATACGTCGTCAAATTTTTTTGATAAACGTTTGTTTCCAGCTAACGCTCAAATGTATATGGGCCCTATAATCCAATACTGCAAAGTGGCTAGAATTAACCAGGCTCGCCTATCGAAAGCGTTTTAATAATGGCTCTTGTTCTGACTTAAATCATTACACAAAATCTATACGATGCCGATCTCCGATTATCGGTTTTGCCGCACTATATACAGACGTGGTACGCCAATAAGTTAATATAGGTTTAAATCAACGTCATGTCAGCTTTAATTTAGGATTTCTGATGAAAATGCGCCCAAGAATTTTAACACTACATAAACTTATGCGCGAAGGTTACAGACGGCAGGTGTTTTCGTCTATATAAACTGAAATGCGTATGTTAAAATTAAAGCTGACTTATAACAATCATTGTTTACTTCCTATATCTAGCACTCACTCGAATTTCTACTATATAACTTGATCCCCTTACCATAAGAATTATCTGTTCCCAAAGTTGATAATGTGAAAACTATCAGGAGTTTCACTCCAAGTTGTTTCCAAGGGCAATGCGGCGATGAAGAGATACACATATCCATTTCCTAAAACGTACTTGAATCGATGTAATAAATGCTTTAGTCCAACCTTTTTCAGCCCAATAGCTCGAAGGCGACAAAAATTCTTACATGTTCTACTTATTTCACAGCATTAGAAATCCAGTTTTTACAAAATTGACACGAACGTTTCCCAGTTGCATACTAAGTAACAGTTGGCAAGGAATATTGAGAACAACATGACAACTGAGGATGCGCACGACGGAACTCATCATTAATTCATGCTCAAACGTTATACATGTCGTGGGTTTATTAACATTTCCTGGGGAACGTTCAATAAAGAACATAACGTTATCCTTAAATTTTAGTGCGGGAGAAACAACTATTAATCGATCTATTCAGAGCAAGAATTGTACTTCAGCCAAGACGTTTTGTGTCTTATTTTGCGGGAGGTTTTATTTGAAAGTCAAACAACCGGTTACCACAATAATGATGGATGTTTTTACCACCTGTAACTAAATAAAACATGATTGGCACACGTTTGGATATGGATAAATAATTTGTTTAAATCGTTACATCGTCTTAGCAACGTATTCGACATGCTGTCATAATTATACAGATCAAGCTGATATAATGGCAGGTTGAAATATAGCTACAATATGAAAGGAGTAAAAGTATCAATAAAAAAGTTACAGGAGATTTGGCGAAGCCCGTTTGGTCAGGAGAGGTTTAATTTTCGTCAGAACTGGCCACAAGGTCTTTGTTCGGAACATCGAAATGCTTTTGATCTATTATAATTACAGGCCTGGTATGCAACTATATCGGACACAACTGCTGCTTATTGTGGAACACTGCCTCACGTTCAACTGAGTCCTTGCTATAAATATTACAAGCCCCGGTCAAACGAACATGAGAGTTGATGTGAATTGGAAGTCATGCACGAATTCTTATGGGAGATATTTCAAGCCCTACAATCGTGTGCAAAAATAATGAGACTTTTCACATTTTCGGCCATTTTAAAGTATACGTCGGCCTCCCCCTATCTCTATGATCAATGTTGGAAAAAGTGGGTTGAATTTTCTCTTTTCAGTCATTCACACAACACTGAATTGGGGGTGTTGGGGGCATTTATGCGGTTAACGTTGTCTCAATAATTTTTGCTCCTGATTGTAGATTAAATAACCGAAAACAAACTTTTATAAGTTATAATCTTTTAAGCTATTAAGGTTATACCGTATTTAAATTGCTATAGATTTACAGGGGTAGTATTAAAAGGTGTGGCCCAATAAAGCAAATTAAAGATCTTTGTTGTAGAAAGTTCAGCTGCACGTCTGCATGTATATCGAGCTGAACGTACAGTAACATAACTAACATATTTTCATTAAATAAGTCAGTAGAGGTGTGTTAATCATCTTTACTTGCAACTGATCACGAGAGCTAAGTTGAATCGCGAAGGATGCAGCTCAATCCGATCGAGTCGAAAGCTGTCTAAGAGCGCCTCTGGCTGCCACCTTATGACTCATGTCTGATCTGCACGGAGCACAAGTACGATGGACGAGCCAGTATAAGGGCTAATCCCAACTTGGGGGCTAATCCCAAGTCCCAACCCATCCCATGTCATCATTTCCTGCGGAAAGAAACAGAGTACTCGGGCAACGACTTTCTCAAGAGCGTTGACGGACTCTTTTCATGAAAATTGATGAGAGTTGGTGGTTAGAGCGAGCGAGAGTTGATGATAATGATGATTATAATTAGTAGTAGTAGTAAAAAACTTTATACGTTGACTAAAACTGTTTCCATGCACAGGGCCTGGGAGCATGCAAAATAATAAGAAGCTAATAGAAATAAGCTATTTACAGGGTTTAGAAAAGAACTATAAGCTACATTGTATATTTAACAATTATACAATGAGCTCGAGTCGTATATGAGCTGATAGCCGACGAGGTGCGTAGCACCGAGTCGGCTATCAGCCATATACGACGAGAGCGAATGGTATAATTGTTTTAGGGGCTGATTACATGAAGAGTTTTCAGCCCGGGCTGAGTTTCAGCCAGGTTAAACGAGCTGAAATTGCGTCACGATTACATGAGCAGTTTCAACCCGGGCTGAGTTTAGTCAGAGCTATATTTATCATCAACCCGGGCTGAAATGTCAGCCCGGGCTGAAATAATCTGAGTGTCACGAAATAGGTCAATAAGCGTGTTACGCTTCTTTGAAGCAATAAGACACTGATTAGTCCAGTATTTGACTTGTGTGAGACTGTGGTTATATGTAAAGTATTTAAAAATTAAAGAAACACGCAAAATAAAGCCATTTCAACGGTTGTTTTTTACGCCGGGCTGAAATTATTTGCGATTACATGCATGCCGAGCTGAGTTTCAGCCCGGGTAGCTCAAACCGGGCTGAAATTTCAGCCCGGGCTGAAACTCAGCCCGGGCTGGAGTTTTGATCATGTAATCGCTTGCTGTGTTTTACTAGGATTTTATCCTTAGGCCGGGCTGAAATTCCAGCCCGGCAAACCGGGCTGAAACTCAGCCCGGGCTGAAAACTCTCCATGTAATCAGCCCCTTATAATACTTAACAATTATTCGCCGAAGGCGAGGTGATTATCGGTGAATAAAAACCGAGACGAAGTAGAGGTTTTTATTCACGATAATCACTGAGCCTGAGGTAAATAATTGTTTTAGTATAATTTCATAGGTGATTATTTGGAAAAAAATTTTAAAATGCACATTTCTTCGTCATTTAATTGACAAAACAGCTTCGGCCGCCATTTTGAAAATCGCTTAGGTGATTATCGCGTAATAATCACCTCAACGGCAACCAATCAGCGTGGAGAATTTTCAATAATCACCTATGTAATTATACTAAAGTCTAATAGCCATTAACTGAAGCAATAATTAATTATCCTCTGTTACAATGTCTTTACATATAGGTTAAAAGCCAAGGGAGAGGTTTTTATTAAACTGTGAAGACCGAGGGCCGAAGGCCCGAGGTCTTTACAGTTTAATAAAAACCGATACCCGCGGCTTTTAACTTGTTTATATACTCATCAGACCATATTCTTTTGAATTTTGGAGGTTTTCTTCATTAAAAATTCAAGCTATATTAATTCAATGAGAGGTCGCTGCAGTTGTGGGACGAAATAACTAGGTGTAACATGCGCATTAACACGCTTTAAAATGTGGTTAAGCATGCGCAGTATATCATTTCACGTCCCACAAGCAAAAGAGCAGATATTACTGTATAAATTCCCTGCACAAGCATGTTTGATGGTTGATCCAGCTGGTCCTCGTGCGCCGAATGATAGATACTCTTACCTAATGGTAGAGTTTTGACGGGCTCTGAGGTACACGGCTGTTGTCTGTTTCTCGACTTAGAGACGTGCAACGTTTTCTAGTCGAAAAGGAGATGTGGTCTTGAGTTTTCCTGCAAATTCAAGTCCCGAATTCAAGACTCATGCCAGGTCTTGAATTGAAAATGTAAAACCAGGTAACTGGTTATTATTTTTTCGTAATAACCGGGTAGCAGGTAGGCTCAGATTCCAGCTGTTGTGTTCTCGCCACTCGCCCACTTAACGGCTGGGTCAATGGTTAATATTTCTTGTCTGTGACGTCAAGGTTAATATTTAAATTTATGCATATGTTTTGCATAATTATGTATTTCTGTGCAATGTAAAATGGCGGCTGTCCGGAGCGAACAATTTTGTTTCGAAGAGGAAATAGCAAATTTTAACAACTTTGTGCATTCATCGATAACTTTTTTGTAAAGGAAAACAAAATGGAAGCTTTTAAGTTCATTTGACAAAATGTTATTAAGTTCTAGTATGTTTTTAACGAAGACAGGAACTGCAATGTACACGAGTCAATGAATATATTATATATCTAAATAGTAAAACAATAAACCCTACCAACAAAAGCAGGTGAATCTGAATAATTAACGTCTTATTTCAAACATATAGTTTTTTAATGAATATTCTTTGAAGAGGAACATAAATTTAATGTTAATATTTGAGTTGTTTATAGACTATAGTTATACGTAATGCAATTTTACACCTTGTGATTTATAATATCTAAAAATTTTCCTTATGATCGATTTTGTTCGAGGGACAGTGAAGGAACTAAGTCTTTTACAGCCTAGTCCCAGGCTCTCTCTCTTTATTCGCTGCTTCGATATATTTAAATAAGTCTTAAAAGTTTTATGCCTGGGTGCGCTGTGCGGAACGCATCAGCGAGAGAGCCTAGCAGATTTCGGTAAAATGGTCCCTGATTTCAAAAAAGTGGTCCCTGGCCTGGTTACCAAGCATACCTCATATGTAAATGAATGTTATGGAAATTTCTTTGCATTTATAATTAAGTCATTAGTTTTGCTCTAATGCTGTCGGAACAATGAAGTAGGCTACGTTTCGCTGCCATACGGTCAGAATGGAATAACAGGCTAAATATGACTCGTGTTTACTAAAATATATAGCCATATTAAATGCTATCTAGAAGCTTGAAAATTATGCCGAGTCTCCGACTAAAAATGTTTTGACAACACCGTCATGTCAGGCAAATATTTCCAATCTCCTCAGCAATTTAACCCTGTCAAGTAGAAAGCGTAGTTGTGTATACCAGTATGGTCTAGTGTTGATCACAACTTGCGAGTATATAAATAACATCAACGATTGCTCAAACTCAGTATCGTAAATTTGTATATAAATTTTTTTAGTTGAGCACATTTTTAATACGGTTTGATTTGGTTATGTAAACATCGAACATGTACATGACGAACGAACATTGTCGTATATATAATTAAAAGGTTACTTGTATATATAAATTTTCCGCCATATTAAAAATACTGAAATCTGCTAGGCGTTCTGAAGCACCTTGAGCGGTGACGTCACACCTAGGTCCCAGTCTCGTACTAGCTACATCCACTTTTTTCTCGCGCTTGCTTCAGAACGACTGGGACTAGGCTGAGTCTTTTATAGACCAAACAATAGTCTGTCAAGATATGATCATTATGATGGTCTGGAAGCCTGCAAACTTCAAAGCTACAAAATA